AAAAAGCCGGCCGGCCGGGTCTATTTTTAAAATTTCATGTTATGAAAACCAAGTAATTAAATTTGTATGGCCTTATACTACGTAACCAAAATTAAAAATTTTTATTCTAACCCTAAATATAATGCTAACCCTAAAGTCTTAATTCTGCCACAAGATTTCCATCCAGGGCTAAATCGGGACGATTCCAATATGGGGTACAGCACGGCACATACTTCTGTTTTTGTATACTTTTTAAATCTACTGTCCTTCAAAAACAATGTAAACGTCACTAAAAAAAAAATTTAAAAAACACTAAACTTAAAGAAGTACGTATATACCAAAAAAAAAATAATAATAATAAAATGTTAACATACAAAATACTATCTGGGTAGTATTTGCCAATACCACCAGTTGTTGGAAACAAAGTTTATTTTAAATTAATACTAATTTTATCATACGTATCTGACAATAATTATAACAATTATATGCTTTGTTCGGGCTTTAATGGTGACCAAATATCATCTGAAATGACTTGGACAAATCCGACTCGATTCAATGAGTCGGGACCGGACGTATATACGTAACGTACAGTACGTACGTACGCACTTAAAAATATTAGCCCTCAATTTAGCCAAAATAGATCGATATTATATGTACGTACTGTAAATTTTACTGTTGCAATATTAAGGTTTTACCTCTGCTAGGTGTTTCAAGGGTCACTAAACACGGCCCCTTTTGAGATCATAATGATTATTTATGCAATATGTGCAAAAGATGCATAAATAATCATCATGACCTCAAAAGAGACCATGTTTAGTGATTCTGGAACACCCGGCATAATTTCAACAGCTATAACAAATACAGAAATAATGATAAGCGATGGTGAAAATTAAAATCTCCAAGTTTATAGACAACTACATTTTTCAAGCCAGCTCATAGTAAAAGTATTACCCGTTTTTTTAAGTCTAAACTTGTAACATGTTTTTCTATTCGGGTTTAATCAAGTTATATTAACTTAGTTTTGTACAAGGATTCATATTGTTTCACAAGTCGTGTAGTGGTACTAGAGGGCTAATTGTCCGAACTTCAACTTGTATATTGTTCACCTACTCGATTGTTTTTTTTTTTTTAAAAAAAAAAAAAGTTCATCTATAAATAAAGACTATCGCTATAATAATTAATTCCTTTTTTAAACTTAGAGATAAAAAAGAATTGTGATCATCGTGATCACACCTCCTCTTGTACGAGATGATGATCAAAGAAACGTCGTAAATGCCAAGTACACATGACATATGAATTTTATCATACAAAATATATCGATATACAAAATTTAATTTGTTAATTTATATATTAAATATATTAAAAATAATTTCATGGTAACATATAAAATGATTCTCTAGATTTGCAAATCTCGATTTGGCCAAAATCTTTTGTTCTTTGTGCCGGCCTTGTAAGTTTGTACACTGTTACTGCAGTTATAAAAAGTACGGACGTACTTACGTGCATATCTATTCTAATATATAAATAGCACTTAGGATAATTCTGGTTTCTCTTTAAATATATTGTAGTAATATTAACGTATAATAACGAGAAGTCACACCGCTAATTCAGGAAATTTTCGCGTGCACCGAAAGTTAATATATTGTATATAGATTGTTTATTTTTATAATTTAAAAATTTTCGAATTTATTATAGATAAGCCATAGATAGTCTAGACAGGTTTCTACATATAAAAAGGAAATATGACAAGGGAAACACCTCTTACTTCTGAAGTTCATTCGCCTTCCTCACCAATTGTTATTCCTGCACGAAGGACTTCGTCTAACATTTCCACACCGTTGACTCCACCAAAAATGTCTCCGATAACTGAAAGTCCTGTGTTGGGGGGTAAACTAGTGACTCTAACTTCCCAACCTTCGTCCAAAAGTAGCGGTGTTGATTTACAATATATGTCTTCGTCACTAGTAAATTCAACGACTAAAGATTTATTTGCTTCACCACGTTATTCTTCTTATTCTCCTTCTTATACTTCACCTTCTCCAAATCATATGTTGAGTAACGGTTTTCGGTCTACTTCAATGCTTCCAAATACTACTGGCCACAAATCAGAGGTCTCAAAAACAGGAGAATTTTTTAAAAAAAATAGATCATATTCACATGCAAAGAGTACTTCTGACATTTTAGGTGTTAACAACCAAATTTCAAGTCTTGTTAGAAACCCTTTCAGTGAATGTGAAATTTTTACCACTGAAGTATCAAAACCTTCACCCGAATCTAAGGCAAAAAAATTAAATGGTGCAAATACGCCCCTATCTGAAGTACGTAATAAACCTAATGTGATACAGGATAACAATAATGAAAATCAAAATAATAGGAGGGATAAAAAACTTCGTCGACGCAGTAGCTGGGATATCGTTGAATTGCTAGCTTTGGACAATTTTAGAAATTGGATGGTGTGCTTTTGTGTAGTCAATTTTGACCTAGAGTTAGGCCAGGCAATGGATTCTATGTATCCTCCTTCAGAATTAGGTGAAGAAGAAAAGAAAAGTGTTTGCTTTTCTGCTTTTCCTGATTCAAATTCATTTGATGTTGGAGAAACTGTATTCAATTTTCGTATAAGATGTTCTAAATCAGGGTTGGCTGCTTCAGGTTAGTAATTTGAACGAATTTTTAATTTCTAGATGAATTGAATAGTTTATATATGGCTTTTTAAAATTTTTTTTTAATGCGCAAGAACTATGCCTAATCGTTATTAAAATATGTTTAGAGAACTTGTTTGTGTGCGCGATCATTTTAAACAATCAAAATCGATAGTTCATATGATTAACTAGCTTTCATGGTTGCTTGAGATTTATTGCAGCAGCTTACACTGAGATGGTTATACTGAGATTTTTGTGTTCCTGTTTAAATTTATAATACTCTACATTAATAATACTAATCCTTAGTTTATTGCTGTTTTCGAAATGGTTGAAAATGACCAAAAAAAAAATTTTTGTGAATATAATGAATACTCGAATACTAGCACAATAATCACATTGTACAGTAATTGTTATTATTGTGCCAATAATCGAGTATTCGTAATATTCACAAAAAATAATAATAAAAAACCTTAAAATTTTTTAAAATTTTATATCAAAATCTCAGCATAGTCAATCTAAATATAAGTTACCATATTTACTATCACATGTTACTAGAGATTATAAATAATAATCGTATTTTAAGAATTCAAATATCTTATTCGACTATCGTATTTGCTATCAGGTCCAACAGCCGATGCTGGGTTCTTGTATGGTTATGTGTTCTTCCGACAGAAAAAAGATCCGCGAATAAAACGTGGATATTTTCAGGTAATTGTTTGTCAAAGCTAAAATTATGTAACCTTTGTTTCAAGAAAGTTTTAGTAAAAAAAGCGTAAATAACTTTTTATTGCGTAACTTTTACTAGAGCTAAGTAATTTCTACCGTTTAAAAAAATCCAATTCGGGTTACCTGTCAGATAATTGTTAACCTACCCGGGTAAAGTATAATCTACAAATCATACGATTTGATTGGGTGAAGTGACTTCACGTGTCCAAGTACAGAATGAACAGGGACCCGTAAAAATTTTTTGTGTTATACGAAATCTTTATTTGTGTTATTGCAAAAATTTGTATTAATTTTGTGTTAAGATATTAACTTTATATTAATTTGCGATTTCTTTTTCGAGAAATTTATTCAAAATTTTGTTCTGAACAAAATATCACACGAATTTTAGAAATTTGGTTTAATTTGCATAATCCAAATTTGCTTTAATTTGGGTTAATTTATATACAAATTTTCACGGTCTCTGGGAATGAATTGTGCCCGTCCGGACGAAATATATAAAATATTTTTACTTGATTGGTTATCTTTTTTTTACCTGGGTGGCAGAATCTTTACCCATTTACACAACCTACCCGCGGGTGACCTGGGTAATCGGATACGGGTCCAATTCTTAATGATTTCAATTCTTGGAGAGTAAAATAGTAGAGATTGGACTCATCTAAAAAGTGCCACCCAGGTTATCCGACGGGTGGGCCTATCGGCCACCCCGGGTGAGTTATAGCTATTACTATAATTCCTGAAACACTAGTACTGTAAATAATTTTTAGTTTACAAACAATATTATTTATACAGTACATAATAGCTAATTAAACTTTTTTTATATAAAGGAAGAAGGTATAGTAAAATAATATTATATATAAATATCTATTACTTTTCTAATTTATATAATAGATTAAGATTTATATTAACTTCTAGTTATAATTTTTTTTCAAAACTAATAATTTAAATTGGCTAAAATTTTTATTAAAAATAAATATAATATTAAGCTATAATATATTAAGATTTTAGCAAACTTAAATTAATAGTTCTTGAGAAATTATCTAAAAACTATAAATAATTTTTTTTAAAAAATTATATAGTTTTAAATAATTTCTCAAAATCTACTATTTAAATTGGCTAATTTAATATATTATATTTTAATATTATAGTTATTTTTAGTAAAAATTTTAACTAATTAAATCTTATTATAATATATAGTATAAAATACTCTTATTACTAATAAAATTATTATATTTGTTTTTTTTTTTTTTTTTTTGGAAACTTTGCCTTTTTTTTTTGTTAATACTTTATTTTTTAATATAAATTTTTAATAAAAATACTTCTTATTTTTT